GTTGTGCGGCATTTCATAGCACGGTTATTCGCAAAGCGAAATAAATTTTTTCCTCTTCACTCCCTGGCGGCAACAATGACCTGGTTCTGTAGTGAATGTCCTAGAAGCTTTACAGTATAGTAGGTGCCAAATCAAAATGGGTGCGAATCATTGTTCTGTACTTTAAAAGTTTGAACGCATATTAATATTGGAAAATCACATCTATTGGGCCAATTGCAACGTAGGACCGTCGATATACTCAATGGTGCAAAAGGTCGATTTAATCTGACCTTCACGGCCCCTTTTCTCACTTGGCTATTTTTAGTAATAGCTCGACTTCAGCACCACTTGGCAGCACGTTTTTGCAATAGTATTGCATACATATTTAAAACATTAGCCAAATCGGATCATAAATAAGATTTTTAGTAATAACTCAACTACAGCGCCAACTGTCGGATTAAATTGTGAAACTAAACCGTCCAGAGACCCACTCAAATACACAAAAAGTTTCGTTAAAATCCGTACAACCATTTAGGAGGATTTCACTCACAAACACACCCGCAGAAGAATAAAAAAATTCATTCAAAGATAGCTAAAGGTCGGTAGGTTTGTAGGCCTCACACCCATTTTCAAATAGCCCAAATTTTCTCCATGAGTATGGGCTTGATTTCAACTATATACATATGTCCATATACATTCCATTTTTTGGAATAGATCGGTCCCTGGTCCACTTCTCGGAAAAAATTGATCACATATGCTAATACATGCCAAAAAGCTATCTGCGCACCGAATTTTAAGCAAATCGGACAGTAAATTCGATTTTTTCGAATAGATCGGTCCCTGGACCATGGAGAAAATTTGGGCTATTTGAAAAGGGGGTGTGAGGCCTACAAACGTACCGACCTTTAGCTATCTTTGAATGTATTTTTTAGTTCTTCTGTAGGTGAGTTTGTTAGTGAAATCCTCCTAAATGGTTGTACGGATTTTAACGAAACTTTTTGTGTGTTTGAGTGGGTCTCTGGATGGTTTAGTTTCACAATTTAATCCGACAGTTGGCGCTGTATTTGAGTTATTACTAAAAATCTTATTTATGATCCGATTTGGCTAATGTTTTAAATATGTATGCAATACTATTGCAAAATGTGCTGCCAAGTGGTGCTGAAGTCGAGCTATTACTACAAATAGCCAAGTGAGAAAAGGGGCCGTGAAGGTCAGATTAAATCGACCTGTTGCACCATTGGGTATATCGAACGGTCCTGCGTTGCGATTAGCCCAATGGATGTGATTTTCCAATATTATTATGCGTTCAAACTTTTAAGGTATTTCGTCTGAAATAAGTATATGTATATTGCATTTCTGTAGAGCAATTCGCACCCATTTTGAAATTGCCACCAACTATACTGTAAAGCTTCTAGGACATTCACTATAGAACCGGGTTGTTGCCACCAGGGAGTGAAGAGGAAAAAATTTATTTCGCTTTGCGAATAACCGTGCTATAAAATGCCGCACAACTGGAGAATTTCAAGAACTTCTTCACGGATATAACACTTTCCTTAGGTTATTTAAAGCGGCAAATGACCACCAAACCATAATCTTAGCAGACGAATGTGCCTATGAAAATTGTAAACGTGAATTGTTGGTGAAAATCTTGGACCAAAAAGTTTCAATAAAATATATAAAAATTTTGGGCGGGACGAAGTTCGCGGGGTCTGCTAGTATGCTAATATATGCTAAAAAGCTACTTACGTACTAAATTTGAAGCAAATCGGACTATAATAAAATTTTTTAGAATAGACCTGGTCCACCTACCCGAAAAAAAAGTAAATTTTTTTTAGCCTAAAACATGGTGGTTACCGAAAGCTATTTGTATACAAAATTTCATGAACATCTGACCAGCCGTTCGCGAGATTACCTGTTACAAAAAAAAAGGGACTTCTCTTTATATAATTAGTATAGATTAGACTGCATCACCAAAAAAAGTTGCAGTTTTTCCACCAGGATTACAAAATGTATTATATTTTAAGACGTCCACCAAAATATTTCGGAAAAATATTAAGATTTAATTGAGCTTCACCGAATTGAATATACCTCCAAAAATGTAGTTTTTTATGAATAAAAATTGTTTCTTAAAGAACTTTTTGAAAAAAGTCCCCTCAGATGACAAAACATATTAAGCTTAAAAAATCTTCATAAAAATATTTAAAAATCTTTTCAACGGAATCGTAAGAATGAGATATTTGATGCTGTTTTTTTTTGTCTTTTTTCAAAGATTGATTTACGAAAAACTTGAATAACTGGGCCAAAACTATTCTGATTTAGACTTATGGGTTCTCATTTGAAAGGTATTTTTACACTCTTTTTATTTCTGTCCAAACAAAAAGTCATTCGTGTCCCAATATTTTTTTTTCAAATACCAACACATCTTAATTCAACTTTGAATGACGTTCCTTCATCCTACCTTTCTCTTTCATCCTTTGAATGAGTTTGTTAGTAAAGAAATAAAAAGGTAGAGGAAATACCTTTCCAATGATACCCCTTAAGTCTAAATCGGAAGAGTTTAGGTTCAGTTATTCAAGTTTTTCTTATAACAATCTTTAAAAAAAGTTAAAAAAACAGCATAAAAAATCTCATCATTACGATTCCGTTCAAAATTTTTTGTAAATATTCTTCTGCAACTTTTTTAAGTTTAAACCGTTTTGTCATTTGAGGGGATTTTTTCAAAAAAATCTTTAAGAAACTATTTTTATTCATAAAAAACCCCATTTTTGGAGGTATTTTCAAATCGGTCCAGCTCACTTAAATCTTAATATTTTTCCGAAATATTTTGGTGGACGTCTTAACATATAATAGATTTTATAATTCCAATGGAAAATAGTACTGATTTTTTTTGTATGAGGAGTGATGCAGTCTAATAT